TTGGTTCTCATTTGACTATTCAGTGACTGTATCCATCATCCATATTGCCTAAGAAATTAACAGAAAGGTGGTAACTTAAAACAATCCCAGCCCCTCTGATTTAAATTGTACAGATGACTGTCACTAAGTGGAGATGTTCTGTGCTATGGATCATGGATCTGATTAGGCCTCATGGACAGAACTTCCTTCTTTAGAATCTACAATGTCACCTAATAAAAAGAAGTAGGATCACTCACATTCTCAGGCTCTAGAGGACAGCACCTTGTGGATCAGGAGGCCTACTAAGGGCTTACTGAAAGCTCACTGCCAAGAGGAGGCCAGGACATGCCTATACCCAGGGGCCATGCCTACATCTGATGCACAAGCCTCAAGGTGGGAATCAGTTCTACAGAAGAGGAAGAGAAGACACCCAAATAGGATGGTGCACACTAAGCAAGGAATGGGGGATGGGGACATGAGGGCAGGTGGCCATGGGGTCAGCATGAGCACATTGAGGGTCTGCTCTAAGTTGATGGGCAATCCTAGGTTATTACAAGAGTTATAAGAGTTGGAGAGGTGCCGAGTCTAACTCAGGAGGTCTGTGGCAAGACCAGTGACTACAAATCTAATAATGCCAATGCTACTAGCCGTGGAGAGCACATTTTGAAGAGTGAGGACAGATAAAGAGAGCAGCTATAGACAAAGGGAGTTTTTAAGGTGTCTTGTACAGGTGGAACTTGAGGAACATGCTGGTAGGTGACATACAGAGAGTAAGAGAAGCAAGGTGGTTCCCAGGCTCCAAAACAAAAGCCCGAGAGACATGTTTACTGGCTATAGAAATAGAGAAGAGGAGGAAGGGGTAAGAAGTGGATGGTTTCCACTGAGGAGAATTCCTATGGCCAGGAGGGAAGCTACCGACTCAGTGGGAATGTGGAACAAGGGCTAACTCAGAGTTGTACCATGCGGGGACAAATCCAAGGAAGGCCACACCACATCTTATCTCTTGTTCCCTCCTTTCAGGGTAGAACAGCTCTGGCCTTAGTCCTACACCTGAAATAGACTGAGTGACTTCAACCACCCACATACTTTCCCAGAGTGAACTTGCAGAGAGGAAAGTTGGAACTGAACAAAACTCATCAGCAGGACTGAGGATGAGGAGCAGGAATAGTATCACACAAACTGGAATGAATGGCAGTATCAAAACTTGAGGGGGACTCTGTAGCTTGTAGGGGACAACAGTGGGAAAATTGGGGCTGAGAAAAAGGAAAAAAGAGGCGATTCTCAGTGGACGGGCATCCTCAGCTCTAAAGGTAGGATATGTGGGGGACTGGCACCATAATGAAAAAAAAACTGAAGCCTTTATTTGATTTCTGCAGACCGTGTCTCATATGTCCAGAAATGTACCACAGGACTTATTTTTACTTCTAAGATTCACAAAGAAATGGACTTTTCAGCATCTACCAAGGCATGAGAGAGCTCAGCAAGCAATAAAAGAGCTTTGAGAGGAAGTCATTTGGAATATCAGCCATCCGACATTATGCCAGGGGCAGAACGCTCTGAAAGAAATTTCATTTAAAGAAAAAGCTGAAAAGGCTGGGGGAGAGCTAAGGAGGGTCTGCAGAGGACAGAGGCGGTACTAAGTGACAAGAGAGGGTAAGATGCAGCGTGCTCTTCTGTCCCTCCATCTCCATGCTGAAGGCCACCGGTCAGCAACAGGAGAACAAACGCTCTGTAAAGAAGGTGCAGCAGGAGTGTGCCTGGGAGGCCACCTGCTGGAACACTAGGAACGGGACAGAATCGAAGTTGGCAGGGGCTTGCGATCAAGTCCATTTTATGGCAAAGTTTCTGAGGCAGGGTCCAAAGCCGATCAACCAACACAAACCAAAACCTGAGGTGAGAAGTCTGTCACAGAGAGAAACGCCCCCCCCCACACACACACAAATAAGAAATATGCATGTTTCCTTAACCTACTATGAAGAATCCCTTAGACGAACCACAGCAATGACAGAAGCCATGATGGACTGAAAGTCACACAACTGAGACATCACGGTTCTGGTAGCTGTGGTACACACGGCAGACCAACAGGAAGTCAACCCAGCCTAGGAAGGGGGAAAGGAAAAGAGAGCAGGGGCCAGGCCTGCTGGGACCTTATCTTCCATCTCTAGGCCTTGAACCTCAGAGGACACTGTTTCCAATATATATCAAAAAGTGACCCGCACAAGCAAAACCATGAAATTATTTCATGGTATTTTCACTTAAAGGGACAACAGACAAAAGGAAAGTGGGTGGGCCTTGCTTAGCTTGTTCTGAGGTCAAGAGGAGAGGCCTCACCTTGAGCCACCTTAAGGCACTTCAGTTGGCAGACAGCCTCTATACTGTGTAGGGTTCTTGGGTCAGGCTGCAGGACATGTAATTATAATAAAATAGAAGAGAATGCTTTCTTTAAAATGGTCATGGGAATAGGCTTTGAAGCTTCATCTAAATCCTTTCTCATATGCCTCAAGCCTCATTTGGCTACAGTCTCAGGTCATGCTCAGCTTGATGAGCCAGGGGCAGAAGCCAGGCTGGCTCTCTTTGCAAGAGCCTTCCGGAGCACCAGGCTCTCAGGCCAGGGGCTGCACTTGGAAGGGCCTCTGCAGGGCAGCTTCTCGTAGCATACACAGGCCAGACAGATGGTGACAGCAGGCTCAGCAAGCTTGGAAAGTGGGGATTCGTCACTTTTAATTATCGCTATTCTGTGGAAGGTCTCCAAAGGCTCATGCCATGAAGACTTGGTTCACGGAGAGGCACTGGTGGAAGACAGGGGAACCTTTAGGAAGTGAGATCATGCAGGCAGGTCCTGAAATGGACTATGTGGATCCCCAGCTCCTCCCTCTCTCATGGTGTGTCTCAAGTGCCACGAGGTGAGCAGCTTTGCTTCATCATGCACTTTTGGCCCAAGTGGTGTGTCTAAAACTGCACAGTCGAACCTTTGAAACCATGAGCCACAATAAATATCACCTTATAAGAACCACATAGAAAGCAGGAGATGGCGGGGCATGCTTGGAATCCCAATGCTGGAGGTGGATACAAGAGGATCCCAGGGCCTGGCTGTCAACAAGTTAAGCCAATCACAGAATTTAGATTTGGTGAGAGACCCAGTCTCAAAAAGGTGGAGAATGATGGAGGAGGACATTCAGTATCTACCTCTAGCCTCCACAGGTACACACATGGGCACCCACCCACACAAACACACATGCATGCACATACATATACCATACACACATATAAAAAATGAATCCATAAAAAAAAACTAGAATCCACTTGGGCCCCATATAATATGCACATAAAACACAATTGTTTTAAAATGCAGCCAATCAATATTCTTCATAAAAAGAATATATAGATGATAATAAGCTACAACTTCTGAATTCTCCAACATTTACATGTATGAACTAAGCAAAGTCCTCCCAATACTGCCCTAGTTAGACCCTGTACCAGTTAGTACCAGACCTTCTTCAAGATTCCACATAGCAGAATACAAGTGAGGAGTTCCCGAAGATATACAGAAACAATCTGGAGTCTGCAACCTAGCAAACACCAAGTAAAAAGCTGGAGTGTATATTTTCAATCAGGACAATGTAGACATAAGCATCCATCTTTCTGGTATCCGACTTCTGTCTAAGACCTGGAGGGAAACTTCACTGTGGAGTAAGAGTTTCAGGACACACACTCCACTACACGGCACATCTTGTTGATGGATCAAGATATCTGTGCTAAACCAGAAGTTCCTATTGCCCCAGAGAGTTCCATGGCACGAACTTTTCATGCTATGCATCATATACTGAGTACCCACTAAGTACAGTCATAGAGACAACAGTGAGATCTCCACTCTTAACTTCAAAGGCGGGTAGCCTGGACACATGACTCAGAAGAGCATACATGAGAGCCATTCTAAGAACTGTCTTAGTTAGTGCAAAGAAAACTTACTTTTTCCCCTTGAAGTCACATGGCTCATGTTTTGCTCTTATTTTCAATACTAACTTCACAATAAAGTTTGGGTATCACTACTAGCCCACACCTCTTCTAAGTTTCTCCTCAAATTTCAGAGACATCTTCCCCAACAACCCTTCGTCACCACAGCCTTCAGCCCCATGATGTAAATGTTGGCTCTGTGTTCATTCACCATTTTCTTCATGGCATACCACTTTATTCCTGTTTGATTCCTTTCCACAGACAGTAGCCACCCTTGAGGGCAGGCATTGGTGCCTTCCTGGAACTCCAGCACCACAAAACCGACTGACAACAGCAAGTGCTCACTAAATACCCAGTGACTCATAAAAGAGCACATAGCCATGCCAACTTCTATTATCTATATTTAAACTGTCTTCATGAACTTGAACTTGAAGTAGATAGTTTTCTGGTTCTGGTGTGCTTATTGGCTTTGTTTTCTGCCTTTAAAAGTAGCTGTGTAAACTAGTTCTAGTCTTTCAAACCCTGAAGCAGGTACTAAAGAGACAGGTACGAGTAAACAGATGAGACTCTGATGATCACATGTGTTACATTCTAACAGACTGGCGAAGTCTCTACTGAGGACAGGGGAGGAAGGGAGTCAAGCACCATGAACTTGGTAGAAAAACCTTTCTTTCCAAATTCATCATTTTCTTCCTCTCCTGTATGGGTCTAAAGCGATGATGTTTCTTTTAAAAGGACAGTCCATGAAGAAATGCTCCTGGGCATCTCTGGCTATTCCCTCACTTCTTCCTAGTTTACTTCCTGCTAGGTTCTCATTATGTTTATTTGCATTCTATGATTCTCTGAAAGGAAATTAAGAGTCTCCTGGGTGTTTCTAAAATATCCTAACCTTTCTCCAACACATCTGCACAAACAGCCACTGAAGATACAATCCCTTAATAATCCAAGGAGACAAGACCAGTTTCATTTCAAATTCTATCCTAGGCAAGCTAAAGTTCTGAAAACAAAAAGGGGTAAGATGGGCAATGGTTTGAAGAGAGAAATACTTCTGAGCAGAGGGACCTCACCTGTTTCACAACAGTTACTGTTCCAGGAGCCATAGCAACCACGGAGGCCACAGCAGTGGTGGCATCGTGGGTCTCTGAACCCAACTCAATGATCTGCTGCAGGATGTTCACAGCTGTGGGGTCAAGTCGATCACCTACAGGAAAGGAGCGAAAAGACACCATTAAGCTCTGCACTGAATGGCACCTAATGCCAACTGGCCCCTAGATGGAAAGACTATGGGGTGATGCCTATTCCAGACAGTTCATGGGTTGGGTTCTCAGAAATCCCTTACTCAGGCAGAGAAATAACTTGTTTGGTACTTTATAGTTTACTAAACATTTCCTACAAGAAGTTTTCAAGGCCTGACTGGAACCATAAGGGATGGCATGATGATATGATCCCCATTTTTTTTTTTTTTTTGTATGTGTCAGTCACTTGGGTACAAAAAGCAGGGATTTGCCTCAGGTCACTGGGGCGATGGCATCCCAAACATTCAACTAAAACCCAGATGAACTGAATCTTGATGTTATACAAACTGCCCTCCAGTGTCACAACTGAGGATTACCAGATGACATGTTCAAATGCAGAACTGGTTCCTCCTGAGGGTAGAGGGGCGGGAAAACCATGCCAAGTGGCAGGCAGAACCCCCAAGAATGTCTTACTTATCTAGCCAGTGGGCTTGTGAACTACAAACCAATTTAAGCCTGCTTTCGTTTTAATCTTGTCAAAAGACAGGGGCCCACACCATCAGGGCAGCAGCTTGGCACACCCTTCCTGCTCTCTCTCACCATCTGCTGCCCATCTGTAATCCTCCTGAGCACACCCTCACCCAGATCACTAATTCACTACAATGGAAATTACTGTTTGGTCTCTGTGCTTCATCATGTCATGAAGTCTTTGCCAATGTTTACACCCTCACAGGCAAGCTTTTTGCAGGCCTCGAGCCAACATGAATCAACCAGTAAGAGACTGGAGAAAGAGACTTTGACATGATTAGTGTAGTAGGTAGAGCATGGCCTAAGACGGAGGGGGTGACCTATATATATACTCACAATATACCAACAGCATTCCCCGTTTCCCACAATACACCTGTACCTGGGAGATGACTCAGATGTGCCTTGCTGCTAACCACTCTAAATTCCAAAAACTAAAATGTTTACTTTGGTGAGTCACTGAGGTTAGATTTTAATTCCTCCTCCACTCCCTCCCTGATCATTACCCAGCCCAACCATTAGTCAGCCAGGAGCTATGGGAATACCAATGAAACATAACCCTACCCCCAGTCCTTCCTGGGCTGACAGGCTGCTGAGACTCACGTGTAAGCAAATCATCATAACACATGGTATTGGAGGGCAGTTAGGAGACAGTATAGGAAAGTCTAGTGGGATCCCAGTAGATGGCCTGCAATCTAAGTGCTGAAGGTGGGGGTAAGCTGGGCAGAGAGGTTCCATGATGGGGGCCGCACCATATCCCAGGGCATACTGGAGTAAACAGATGAGAAATGCAACCTATGCTGATACCTGCAGAATCTGGCCTGGACAACACAGCCTAGAGGCAAGAAGCAAGAAAAGTGGGCAGCCAGGAAGGAAAGTAGAAGGTCTGGTCGGCTGAGCTGTAAAGGTGAAACAGTATCTGAAGCTCCATGGGAAGACACTGATGGGCACATGGGCTTGTGCTCATGGACTCTCTAAGGAGAGAGACACTAGTGGAAAATGAGCATACCCTCATGGATTCTCCAAGGAAAGACACTGGTAGGCAAGCAGGCATGTGCGTATGGACGCTCCATGGGAAGACACTGGTAGGCACATGGGCATATGCTCATAGGAGATGAAGATATCACTGACCACTGAGACAGAAACCCAAATTCAAACAAGGACTCAGCTGGGAGTCTTGCCTCACAGCTTGGCCTTGACTCTGCAGAAGTGGAGGTGCTGTGGGCCCCAGTTCTCTCTAGCCTGGCAGGAAGCAGTAGTTAACTACTTGGAAATGGATGCCCACAGGAGCTGGAGCTTTCTTAAGACTGGAAATTAAGGATTTCACGTCAGGAGAGGAGCAGTTCCCTCCGCTTATCTCCCAGGGCCATTTGTTCTCACCTAATGCTTCCCCATTAATCCTGCTTACTTGTTTCGGCCTCCGACATGCATGTGCTCCGGCATTTCCAGAGCTGTGGGAAAACGGCTTCCAAGTACAGTGCCCAGTTTGTAAACTTATCAAAAATACAAGATCATCACATTTGATTTAAAAATACGATCTGGCTTTTTGGAAGCAATGGAGACAGATGAGTGAGCCTGAGCACACAGATATATATATGTATCTTGGGGTGACCTATCAGTATATCACATCCTAGTCGCTGTTATCACCTACCTGGACACTCTGGACCCTGGGATAAGCCCTATAAAATAGATGGCCATGAGGAAGTATGAGGAAGTGGTAGGGACGGCCCGAGGAAAGACAGGAGAACCAGACTCCAACTCTGCTACCTAAGTGGAGGACTCTCACCAGCTACGTGCAGTGGACAGCCACCTTCACATCAGTTAAGTGAGAATGTCAAGGCTACCCCTGAAGAAAGCTGCTCTCCAACTAAGTGTGATCCACGTAGGCCCCACTCTGGCTGGGTTCATTCTGAAGCACTTGCGGAGACAGACATCCTGATTTGTTCATTACGTAAAGAGCAGCAGCGCTGAAGTGAGAAAGGAAGCCGGGTGAGCCCTCACCATTGTCGGAGGTGTATCTCAGGTCCTGAAGGGCAGCCACCGCGGCTTGTGTCCCCTGAACATCTTCTTCGGCTTCGGTGATGTAGAGGTACTGGGTGGAGGGCTCCTCTGGAGTCTCTGTTGCCGGCTAAAGAAAAACATCATGTCTCAGCATCCTTCCAAGAGATTAACAGCAACCTCTGAATTCCAGAATGAGATAAACACATACAGAAAAATAGAACTTTACAACCCACTGGCATAGCTCTCCTGAAAAGCCAAATCAGCTCCAATACATGCATTTCCAAAGAGAACATTTTCTCTGGAGGGTCAAGACTTTTTATCAAGCCGCTTTGAGTGGAAGCCTGCTGCTCCTCCTGCTCTCGGGACAAAGTGAAGCATGCTGTTCAGAATGAACACATTTGAGTGTGTACTTCTACAGGCTTCTGTCTCCTCCCACTGCTACCAACACTGTCTTTAACCTGCCCCTGACATGGAGGCCTCTGGCCATGCTGCTAACAGAGGCAAAGGAACAGCCATGAGAGAAAGTAGAAAACACTGCATTGTTACTTAGCATGTAAAGCATGCACAGGTCCTAACACAGAGTAAGAGCCCACTGAACCATAGCTATCAACACCCATCAAATTATTACACAGACTATGGAAGGACATTCTGCAATTTAAGGTGATAGCTGAAGGTAGAAGCGGCTGAAGTGATGTTCAAAGGTATCTCCTACCTCAAGGGGAGAAGCAGAGAGAGCACATAGTCACAGGATGAGTGTTAATAAAGATCTCTTTCTGAGAAGGAACACAACCAATACTGTAAGGTGTGGGCCATGAATCTCATCAATAAAGAACAAAAGGAAGACTTTGGCCAAAGTTTATAGGAGTCAACGTTATGCTCTATCAACATCCATCAGTCACTGACACAGTTTCAGAGGAGCATGTAATTGTCCTTTCACAGACAACTAGCCAAACTCAGTTAGGTTATGCCTGCCTGACATAAAGGAGACACCTAATAAATATCCAATGAATGCAAAAATTAATAATAAAAGAAAGACCATTTCTCCTTTAGAGTAGGGTAATAGTTAAGCAGTGTACCAGCCAACTATGGATTCATGTGCCTTAACTTGTGAAAGAGCTGCTCTTCTGGGGGACCTAGGCATTAGTGACATTTAGCAATGTTTCTTCTGTGCATTCCTAGGAGATAAGTGACAACTCGAACTGCCAGGAAGCCAGTGTGCTTTTCTCCTGGTGGCCACCCTGTGCCCAGCTCCCTCGCTGCTTAACTGCCTAACACAGAGAAGAAGGGCCTATTTTTTTTGTGTACTATTTCAAGAGGTTCACAGCTCTGCTAATAGTTCTAGAATCTGCTGGAGGTAACTGACTGAGATGAGATGGTTTTCCATTATGAATTAGTATTGCAATGACTGTTTCTTTTTCTTTCTTTCTTTCTTTCTTTCTTTCTTTATGACTGTTTCTTTTTCTTTCTTTCTTTCTTTCTTTTTTTTTTTTTTTTTTTGGTTTTTCGAGACAGGGTTTCTCTGTGTGCTTTGGAGCCTGTCCTGGATCTTGCTCTGTAGACCAGGCTGGCCTCGAACTCACAGAGATCCACCTGCCTCTGCCTCCCAAGTGCTGGGATTACAGGCGTGCGCCACCAGCGCCCGGCCAATGACTGTTTCTTTAGATAGCAAATTCTGTAGTGCAAACTTGAGAGTTCAGGAGAATAATCATGTCACCATCTATGGTGATGAAACACTGAGGCTGCCATCACCACCACCACCGCAAAGGGCTTATCTGTCACACACAAACTCCAGCATTTTAACAGTATTCTTCCTCTCTGCTTTCCAATCTACCAGCCTACTGTATGGCTGAAAACACTAAGGCTACAGTGAGTCAATAGTAGCTCAAGGTCTAACAGCTTATAGAAGCAGAGCCAAGTTTAAAACCTGTCACTCCAAACCTCACTCTTTTTCAGTCTTAATTTATAAAACGTTTCAAATACATACATAAGTAAAGAGAGAAGTATTATAAAGTCCCACATACTTGTCACTCAACTGCCCAATTTAAACAATTTTCAACTCATGATCAGTTGTTTCACATATGGCCCCACATCCTCCACAACTTGCTCTTGGATTTGTGTGTGTGTGTGTGTGTGTGTGTGTGTGTGTGTGTGTGTGTGTGTGTGCATGCCATAGTGCACCTTTTGAGGTCAGAGGACAATTTTGCAAAGTTAGTTCTTTCCTTCCCCTTTATATGGGTTCCAGGGATCAAACTACAGAAAATGAATTACACGTTGTGCCATCTTGCTGTGACTCTACCCCTGACGGCCTTGAAGCAAGTCAGAACCATTGTTTTCTCCACAAGTATTACAAACGATATCAGCTGTGGACTTTCCCATGTGTGGGTAGTACACTGATATTCAAAAGCTTTTGGAATTGACAGTATTGTGGATTCTGAATTTTTTGTTTTAATTAGGGATTTTCATCATATAGATGATACTGATAATGCTGCTGCTGCTGCTGAAGATGATGATAACAACAGCAAACCACAGAAATTCCTAGTGATTTTTGACTCCAAGTTGGCACTAAGGCTCCATCTAGCTTTGGCCTCTACTTACTGTAACATCTTCTTCCAACAGTAAAAACAGTTCCCTCTATAAACACTTGCTCAATTATAATACACACAGGAAATGGTTTCAGAGCTTAAGCACAGTACTGTGACAAGCACTTTGACCAGACTGCAGCACTCATCAGCTCTTTGTCTTTGGCCTTAAAGTATCCGGCAACATACTGTTTCCATAGTTACTTGTTTCTGAGTTTAGTTGAAACCCTCTAGTATTTCCAAATGAAACTAGACACTGGCTTATGGCCAAGATACATACATTTTTGTCATCTTAAGGAGCACCCACTAAGCTCTCCTAAAGGTGTATAATAGGTGAGCAATGCTTCCTGTCAAAAGACTTTTTGCATCCATGACAATGATTCCATTCTCCCCCTAGTTCATGGTGAGCTATATAAGGATATGTTCTAATATGGAGTCATGATTTCCTTACATTCCAAAGTACTTTTCACACTGCCATGGTGTTTCATTGTTTTTATTTGCTATGAATTGTTTCAAAGACCTTATTCTGCCCGGTTATAAGGAGGTAGCCTGTGAGTCCACATGTCAACTGGAGGTGACTGTGACTGCCGGAGAGTGATGAACCTGGGTAGTATCTAGAAACAGCTGACTGTCTCAATGAGGTGCAGAGAGGCAGAGTGATGCTACTGCTTGGTACCTGGTAGGAAAATGCCATAAATGTAGCTAAACTTCCTATAAGGTCCAGGATGGCCCTCCACAACAAAGAATTATGCAGATCAAAACATCAACAGTGCTGAGCTTGCGAAGCTCTGCTTTGAGTGACTGCAATCTGTCCATGATAGTGGCATCTGGTATTTGAAAGGATGGGTGGCTGTTGGCTCTCGTAATGGTGACAGATTCAAATTTCTGAGGGAAGCAGACAGTGGGTAGGAGCAGGGGCATTTGGTAGAGGAAAAGAAGGACCAGGAGCCAGGATATGAGGCCTTTCCAGTTCTCTCAGTGAAGACAGCAACAGGCTATTTGCCTTCCACTGTGTGGGGTACAACGTCTAAAAAAGGGGTTTGTGAGCTGCAGAAGCCAAGACAACGTTCACAGAAAAGCCCAAATTGAACCCAGAATAAGCTTCACATAGGTGGCTCACTCAGAGGGACCCAGAGCCATGATCTGAAGTGGCTGCAGATTTCCATGGAACACATCCAGTGCTCTCCAGGGCAGACTGTGCCCAGCACCTGGGCTCACCTGACTTGTCACCTGTGTTTCAACGTGTCGAGATCATACCACACTTAAAGTGTTACCTCCAATTTGGGGTCTCCATCAATCTCCACTACCTTCAAGCCATGCTTGTTCTTCAAGTGCCTGTTGTACTCCCATTTGGTGCCGTAGACAAAGCTGCAAACAGGACACTTCAGGCCACCTGCAAGCACAGAACAGACAGGTAAAAAGAAGTGTTTAGAGCAAGTTAGCATAAAGGGTCTCCTTCTGTCCAAATGTGTGGGATCTGCAAAGTGCCTCATTTTGTCTCCAGCACCTACAGCCACTCATGCTTACCACAGCACTGAAATAAAACAGCAACGGTAAAGCAGCTTTTAGGGTAGAGATTCGGGAACTTAATATACTTTTCTTATTTATTGAATAGGCCTTTGCAGAGAGTTTAATACCTGCTTGATATTTTAAATGCCAGGGAGAAACGAGGAACATAATCCCCTTGACCAACTGGATTGTGGCTAAAATCAATCTTTCATGTTGTTATCTGTAAATAACATTTTTTAAAGTCACTGAAGAGCAGTGGCTGATTTGTCAATCTCCTTCGCCTCCAAATGCTTCAAATCAGATGCTCAGTTCTCAAGCGCCTTCCCAGAGAAGCTAAGTCACGAGTATAAATTCTCCTGTGGGTTTCCCAGGAGAGAATAAATTAAAAGGCTGGTCACGTCCTGAACTGTCACTGTTTACTGAACCAATTACATTTTGCACATGGTCCAGGAAGGGTTTCGATGCCTTAATTGGGAGAATGTAAAACTCAAGGTAGAGAAAAACAAATCACTAAGGTCACAGAAGAGACTCTTTCTACAATTCTATCAGAAGCAGCACTACATTGGAGACTGGACACTAATCTCTTAGCAAAAGATGCCAGCTCTAGCCAGAGGAGGCCGAAAGCAGTCCTGGTGTTAGGTGACCAGCTCTCCAGGCCAGAGTTGGGCCTCCACATAGGGCTGGGCCTAGACAGTGGGTGTCCTCACCAAAGTTCCCCTGCTTGAGTTTTTGTAGCCTGCTGACTGTGCAGTTCCAGCAGCTCATGCCCCAGTGAGGAGCTGTTGGATCTCCCTTTCTCTTGCTCCAAGTTTTCCCTATGGATGGCCTTTCCTCCCTAATATCATCTATAGACTGTATCCTGAGAGCAATGAAACTCAACATTAACTTCACAAGGAAGGCTTGCTCCTCCCCTCCTCTTTAATTAGTTCTGTGTCAAACAGAATGCAGAGAGAACTAGTTAAAGAGTTTGAAAGTCACAGTGTTCATTTAATACTATCTTCCTTGCTCTTTGAATCCTGCCTCCTGCCGTGGCAAGCTGCTCCCCTGCCCAGTCCCATGGTTGCCACAGCACATGTCTGAATCAGTCACTAAGCAAATGAACACTGTCTGTTTTCCTCCTATAACAATACCAATAGCCAAAACAGTCACATATATCTACTCTCTGAGTGCACATGTCAAATACCACAGGTATAAGCTACGCTCACTCCCCAACAATACTGGCATGATTACCTCATTTTAAACAGAGGCTTTGGACTATAAAGTAGTATTTGCCTTAAGCCAAAACTATAACCAGCTTGAGTTCGGTGCAACAATATGATCACAATTTCCATCAAATTCTTCCTGGGCAGTATGATGCACTCACTTTCAAGATCTCTCTGACTCAAACACCCAGGCCAGTTCCTTACCTTTATTCTCAATCCTGAAGCCTCACAAACAATCATTTTTACATCCCTGACATGAACATCAAGTGATACCCAAAGCAGCCCATTTCTCCAGTGCCTCTGTGAGCTGAGCGAATCACAGGGACACTAATGTTTAGGCAGCCAGAAACTGAACTGAAGAGTATGTTTTAGGCTATTATCTTCATTTATTTATTGCTCATTCTGAGGAATTCTGTCCAGATGTTGAGTTTGACTGAATAACTTTTGTTAGAGCCAGGCAATCTCAGGGACATGCACTACTCAATTCCATCCCCGTTTCACATGCAGCTCCAATGCATGCCCTCTCCTGAACCAACTCCATGTCAGTGGACTCTGCACAGAGCATTGCCTACAGCTGGAGTTTCTTGTCTACTGCAGAACTGGAAGCTAATAGTACTTCCCTTCCCACCTTCCACTCATTGCTCCTCAGTCTCCTGATCCTGGGTATGTTTAAGAGCATACAGCAGAAGCAAGATGGAGGAGAGACAAAGCCAGGTGACACTAGTCACCATCAGAAAGACCGGAAAGAAATGGATATCAAATTCTTAAGTTATAAAACATCCTACAAAAGAAAAAAGGCAAAGTGAATGGTTATTTTCAGAATCTCAAAGACACTATTCTTTTATAGACAAGATCAAATGCATTGTTCTTTCTTAGTCAGGAGCATAAGTAAACTTCCTTTTAACCTCCCATGGTGGTTTGATTGAGAAATGTTCCCATAAACTTGGGTATTGGAATACCTCATCCTCCAGATGGTGGTGCTGTTTGGGGAGGTTACGGAACTTTTGGACGTGAAGCCTTGCTGGAGGAAGCACATCACTGGAGGCAAGCCTTGCAATTGTACAGCCCTGTCCCACTTCCACTTCTCAGCTTCCTGCCTGTAGTTGAGGATGTGATTTCTTAGTTTCCTGCTCCAGCCACCCGCTGCCATGCCTCTCCCACCATTATGGATGCTCCCTCTAAAACTGTAAGCCAAAATAAACTCTTTCTTCTGCAAGTTGCTCTTGGTTGTGGTGTCTTATCACAGCAACAGAAAGGGAACTAATATACATTCCTGTTATCATGTACTAGTCATCTACCCTGCTGTCTTTCCTCATGAGCATCTTTGCAAAACCTCTCTTAGTCATGTCTTCCACCTTTGCTCATGGCTAGACCAATCCTGCTTCTCCATGAAAGAGTTAAACACAGAAACAACCAAAGCAAACTTCCTGAGGTCAAATGCAGGCTTCACAGTGAAACTAGAATACTGTTTTAGGGAAACTAATTCAGGGGGGAAAAACAACCTCATATTATGTTTAAATTGTACTTAATATGATAATGCCTGGCATTAATTAAAACTTCAATCTTTGCCATAGCAACTTTAATTAAAGAACAACAAATAGAAATATGTAATCTCACCTGAATGTATAACTATGCCATTTAATTGACATCAGAGCAGAGAGAAATAATTTCTCCTTCAATTAATTAATTTCTTAGTGTGCACAGTAAAGGTCAACAGAAGGCCTGGTGAGCTACTCACAACCCTGGCATTAAGTGCTCGGTAAAGTTGCAAATGGCCAGCCACAATTTCCTCACGTGGACTACTTAACCAAAAGAAAGTTCAAGAACAACTTTAAAAGCTCACCATGGCAGCCTTGCTCTTTACAGACCTTAACCTATTGGAAACCTAGAGTATTTCCAGGCATTAAAACATCTGCCCTTCTTTGTGGTGCCTGATGTTATAGAAGACTCCATTTCATGTTCAATAACATCAGTCTGGGAACAGCACAGAACACGAGGCAGATAGGCAGTCAGGCAGGTAGATAGATCATACTTGTGTGAGCCTGGTGAACGTCCTTACACTCTTAAGTCTGAGCTTTCTCTTCTACTAAGGTAAAGATAGCAGTCCTCATATCCTCATGGTAGCTACAGCATAAGAGGCAGAATATAGGGTCTCCCAGATGGATATACTAACCCTTGGAACACGTGAACACATAGCTTGCATGGGAAAGGGACTTGGCAGATGTGATTTAGCTAAGAACTCTGTGATGAAGATCATTTTGGAACATGGAATGTATGTAATATAATCAAAGGGAAGACTGTCATCATAATGGCATAATAGGAGAAAAACTCCTCTGACCATTTTTGCCTTCAAAGGTAGAAGAAGGGTCCACAAGCCAAGGCATGGGGTAGCTTCTAGAAGTTGGACAAGGTCAGAAAGTAGATATTTCCCTCACATCTGTAGATTTGTTAACATCCCTATTTTAGCTTAGTAAGCATCAGTGTGCATATCTGAACTTTGTAAGGTAACAGATCTTCATAGGTTTAAGTCATTTGCTATAGTGGCTTTGGGAAACTAGTACAGGCACTCAGGGACTGGAGCAGAAGCATTAAGGAACTTGGATACTGAATAGTTTAAATTCACAAGATGAGTAGGTGAAATGTGAACATCAGTTCTTGTGGATATTCTCATTTCCTGTTGAGTAAGAAAGTGTTACCCCTAGTGACCTAAAGTGCTGTTGGATCACCTGGCCATAGGGCTCAGGGATATCTGAATCCTGTGTCAAACCCTAGCCTCTCTTCCCATAGGATCCTTGAGAATAATAGCATAGGAGAACTACAGCAGAGGAAAACAAGCCTATTTTATCATTAGCTGGCTGATATCCTGGACTCTAATGAGGAGTCCCTGGTATACACATCTCAAGTAAGGTCTTCTTCACTTCTCTCTGGGCCCTGAGACCATTGGGAAGGACTGACTGAGCAAAAGAAACAGGTCACATAGTCAACCTTGAGCCAAATTAGTGACTAGCCTTAGGAATGAAGATAAGAGGGAAAAAAAAGAGCACCTCCCATGAGACTTTGAAAGTGCAACCTAATCAATATCCCAGTGTGAGACCACGCCTGCTCCTCGCCCTCATCCCCCTCTTCTGCTTCACCAAATACCGAATCAGGAGACTGGATTAGCCTGGTCATATCGTCATTGCGCTCTGTCAGCTTCTAATTTGAAAACAAGTGAATAAGGATACCAACCTTTAGGACTATATCATAGGAAAAATTAACCCATTCAATAATAATCAAAATAAGGCATACCATCACACCACTAGAAGCCTCTTCCAACAACTCAATGAATCTTGATTTTAATTGTTTTAAACATGTCCATAAATTAAATTGATAACTTATGAGCGACTTCACAGTTTCTAGATTTTCTGCTACGCTATTTCCTGAGATTAGCATGAATAATACGATATGCATGTGCTCCCATGGATACAGATTTACATTTTTCTAATTCAGTAGTTCAAAATAACAAAGACTTCAGCAGAAGCCAAAAATGAAGCCTTCGTGACATACCTCCTGTCATTTCTCCTCTGGTCGTGACTATCTATTGTCACTTCAGTGACTCTCAAACAGGGCCTCCACAGAGGGCTCAGCCACTGTGTAAGCAGCTGATGATACTCCCAGGCAGGACCTCCTCTCATGTGGAAGGGAAGAATCCTTTAGCCACACCATCAGAACATGAGGTCCTGAAAGGAGCTGCCTAGTCCCAGTGCTACTGAACAAAAGAGACAAGCAGGTTCCAACTCAGGAAGGAATGCCGATGAGTGCCACCATAAAGCCACCTAGTTTAGTACTGAGTTTCAGTGGCTAGCACTGGGCTGGCTGCACAGAAGAGGCTGAAAAGACATGTGCATGAGGAAACATGGAGACAAACGTAATAGCTTAGGGTTTTCATGAAGCATTTACTTCATGTCAGGAAATAGCTGCAAGTATTAGAGAACAAGATCTAATTTTGGCAACTACTGTTGAGGGCAGGTATTAGCTTCCCCTGTGATGATTCTGAATGCAAGATCAAGTCCAGGGAAGATAAGTACCTGGTCCAAAGGCCACGCTGTGCAGAGACCCCAGTTAGGTCTGTGTAGCTCCCAACCCTGTGCGTGTTCCAGAGAATCTAGAGAAATCTGACAGTGTATTTTGTGGTACTGGGAAACTGACCTTTGCTAAGTCCCATCTTCATCATATCACACACCACTTAGAAAGGAGTTATGACTTCTTGAAGCCTGGCACCAAAGCACCTTACACACCTCAGTGCCTATGACTGCTAACCTAGCTCTCGAGCAAGCTTTAATCAGGCTTTGGTGAAGGGGCAGGAGTGGGGGGAGGGGGACTGTCAAGTATGTCTTCCTTAAACAGCACAATATATACATTTATATAGGAGAATGCTTCAAATCCGTATTGATGATCAAGTGATGACTTAGAGAATCTACCCTCAGAATATGAGATGCACATACATTACAAGCCAGGAATAAACTGCTTCATGTAATGCTTAGGAGAAGTCTAACGTCTAAATAGTACCAGAGTGGTGAAGACTCATTTAGGTATCTGCTTCTTCAACAAGCCCCTAGAATGGGACTGGGAGGTGGGGATGGAGACACATGAAAGAAAATGATCAAGCACCGATCTTCAAAGCTTAAATATAAAACCCAGGTCCTGTTAGAAAATGCCAATTGATTGGAAAGCCTTAGAAAGTGAACAGAAAACTTGGGGCATAAAACAGTTCAAGTTCAGCACAGTTTTGGCAAGGCAGTGATGAAAGTCTAAAAGCAGTGATAGTGTCATCAATCAGATCCATGGGCCTGTCCCACCAGCCACACTGAACATCTATTTTCTGCCAATCAAATCCAAGAGTGTGAAGGATGTGAAAACTAAGCCCTAGCTTCCCACTCATTATTTACAGTGACTCTAACTCAAATCCATTCTCCCCCATGATTCCTGGACATGATGACTGTCGTAAAAATAATAATAATAATAATGCAACAGTGGCTAGTGGTGCAACTCAATGGGAAGGCACTTGCCTAGCATGTGCAGGGCCTTGAGTTCCATCCTTAGCACAGAAAAGGAAGACTCCAAGCAATGGTCCCCAAAGTTTTAAATATTTTCAGGAAAAAAAAAAGCAAATCTAGGAATGAAATGGTCTTTTGTGCCAGATGCCCCTGAACAGCATCTTCTCTACCCTCATGGAAGATGGTGCTCTGTAGTCAAGGAGTCCAACAAGGACAGGCTAGGTGACTGCCTAAGACAGTGCAACTCAAGGAGAGGAAACCCAGATCTGAGCCAAGATCCTCCCCCTCTGCTGCACCATCCTGCTCCTAGCATCATAAAACTTCTGAAGAAAACGAAAGACCCATTTTCTCTCTTGCACTCTGACAAATTTCTGATGGATAGCTCGAAAAGGATCCTGAGAGTCTTAGCTGCTCATCTATTCCTGTTCTGCTCTGTCACTGAATGCTGCTGGATATAGACAATCCATTTGTGTTACATGGAGATGCATCTCTAGGCAACTCAGCAAGGGATGCTTTGTGCTGAATCGGAAAAATAAGTATCCCTGGCTGTGACACAGCTCTCAGTCCTCCATCTGGTAGCCAGACAGGTTTGTAAAACCTCCCTCAGCTCCACAGAGTCACCAGCTAATAAGAAGCGGTGACTAAAGCTATTCACTGCAGTCAGTCCTAGGTGAATTATTGGAATGGAGACATAAAGACAGCCATATTTCTCTGTGTGGTGACAGCACGTGTATTATGCCCTCTTCGGTGGTAATGTGTGGTTATTTATTTTCAATAAAACCTCAAAAAGAAAAACTATGAAGTTTTTCAATATTTACAGGGGTTTTCATTAATTCTCAATAAATGTTCAAAATATTTTTCAGGATAGCTAAAGTACCTGTGTACTCAAAATGTGTTTTTCTATAAATCCCCCCCCCCAAAGTTCAACTACTAAATATATCTTAGTAGCACTGGTTACAATTTTATTTTTAAATCTAATTAAAATATAATTACATCATTTTCCCTTCCCACTCTTTCCCTCCTACCTGCCCCATGTCTAGCCCCCTCTCTGGAGTTGATGGGGTCTTCTTTAAAATCAAGGAAGGGACGGCATAAAGACTGTAAGAGCCAAAGGACCATGAAGTGTTCTGTGAGATCATACCTTCTAGCTATGCTACAGAAGCTACACCCATGAAATCTCAACAACATGGCTTCCGACCCAAGACCTAAACAATTCCACCACCAGCTGACATCCCAAGATAGATGGGGGGAAATCTCACAGGGCCCAACACATGGATGAAGAGCTAAAAGCAATTAACAAGTCCTGAGAGAGGGAAAATTAGACTTCCACGGAGAAGATCCCCCTAATTGATTATCCAATACCAAGTAGTCAAACCTAGAAACATACCCTAGAAACAATACCAAGTAGTCAACCCTGAGTGACTTTGCAGGTTATATTTATGCTTATTCTTTTATATGTATATGTACTAGTAATAGTTAAAAAGAGAAAAAAAAACACCTTAGAAACTACATTTTTCAACCACAGAAGTTTTCATCTCTTACATGCAATGCTGTATTACCAACAGCTCTCAGGAGTTATAATTACAAAGTCAAAGACTGTAGCAAAGGACAACAAAAAATGTTCTTGTCAATAACACTGAATGAAGAAAATAAGGCCTAAAATTTCTACCCTGCAAACAGTATGTGCAAACCAAGAGCAGACAACAGTATTGGTGAATATTGTGGCGAGTATCAGAGACTGAAACTTTTACCACTACGCTTTTAGATCACGACATTACAGTTGGAATTCTGACTCGTGCCTTCTGGTGAATAATGAGGGTGGCGATGACATACCAACAGAGGGGAAGAACTAACGTGATGCCAGGCCCATGGGTTAGAACTGAGCTCTTGGCGTCTAGCAGTGCTTCTCAGCAGGCCTGGGCCCCTCACCTACCTTGCTGGATGAGTGCTTCAGCTGCAAGCTCCCCGCTGCCCACGTTGGCGTACTCCTCGTTGGGGTGCTTCCTGTTGTAATGTCGCTTCAGAGATCCGGAGATGTTACATGAGTAATGACAATGGGCACAGCGGAAAGGCTAGGGGGACAAGGAACAGAAATGGTGAGCCTCTGCCAGCTTCCCCAAGTGCGCCTCCCGGGGAGAGTATGACACCAGCATATCTACAAATGAGCGGGACCAGTAGACCCCGTCACCAGGGAATGGCCCGTCCCAGTTAGGGTTCCTAGTGCTGTGATAAAATACCATGACCAAAAGCAACTCAGGGAGGAAAGGACTTATTGTAGCTCACATGCCCTGGTCACAGTACATCTGGAAAGAAAGTCAGGCAGGAACTCAAAGTAGGAACCTGGAGGCAGGAGCTGAAGCAGAGGCCATACAGGAGTGCTGCTTACTAGTTTATTCCCTATGGCTTGATCAGCCTGCTTTCTTATACTATTCAGGACCATCACCCAGGGTGACACTGCCTCCTGTGGGATGAGTTCACCTACATCAGTCATTAATCAAGAAAACATACCATAAGCTTGCCCACAGGCCAATCTGGCGCAGGCATTTTCTCAATTGAGGTTCCCTCTTCCCACATGACTCCAGCTTACGTCAAGCTGACATCAAAACTAACCAACACATCCTGCTTCCATGCAGCCCCAAGCAGCCAGGGTAAGGTAGGTCCCAGGGATGCCACTAAACAAAACTGCAGTCTTTATTTCATGATTGCTCTTCTTGTCGACCCCTGGCACCGAAGAAGATAAATAAAATAGTAATATGCCAACCAATCACTATTTTAAATGATGGCATTAAAAGCAGTTCCTGTTACAATCTAATCCTGGATACTCTTGTTCCTTCCTCCAAACAACTTCCTTAGCGACAGTTCCCTGTCAGAATCTGTAACAATGCACAGTGCCAGGCTGTGGGGACATGTAGCTGGCAAAAGCCAGTGCAGCCTGACCTAGGCCAGAGGAAGCACTTACAGAATAAAATCACAAATGGATCCACAGCCCTGTCTGACCCCCTTGCATACTGCCTCTGGGAACTCAATGCAAGGAAGGGAAGGAGTACCCATCAGGTACCCTTAGGAAGACCTTGGCTTCAGCCTCAAAAAAGCTATGTGCCTGAACCACTGCCATATGCTAGGCTCTTTCTCAGACCAAAGTGTCCTCCTATGTCACGGTGCCATGTAGCTCAGACAGAGTGGCAGGAATCCTGTTTGGCATTTGGGCCCATCTATTAACACCAGCTTTCTGTCAAGGCAGTAAGAAGCAGCTCATGGGCTGTGGTGATGTTGTGTTCCCCAAAATATTGTATACCCTAATAAACATATCTGGTCTCAGAGAACAGAACAGCCACTAGGTATAGAGGCCAGAAAATGGTGGCACACACGCCTTTAATCCTAGCATTCCAGAGGCAGAGATCCATCTGGATCTCTGTGAGTTCAAAGCCACACTGGAAACAGCCAGGCATGGTAACAAAACCTTTAATCCCAGGAAGTAATGGGAGAAAGCAGAAAGATATGTAAGGTGTGAAAACTAGGAATTAGAGCTGGTTAAGCTTGTAGGCTTTTAGCAGCAGTTCAGCTGAGATTCATTCTGGATGAGGACTCAGACTTCCAGTCTGAGGAAACAGGATCAGCTGAGGAATTGGCAAGGTGAGGTAGCTGTGGCTTGTTCTGCTTCTCTGATCTTCCAGCATTTACCCTACTACCTGGCCCCAGATTTGTGTTATTAATAAGTCCTTCTAAGATTCGTGCTACAATGGGCCCCCAAGATGGCTTCAGTACTCTGGATGCTGCAGGAGGTGCTCAGATGAAGCATGTTTAACCTCACAGGTGGAAATCACCTGCAGTGGAACCTCAGACAAGTAGCAAAACGTCTCCGAGCTCTTTCTTCATCTGAAACCTGAGGGTAATAGCTACCTTCTTAGGCCATGCTCTGGATGAAAGGGTGGAACACAAACCAACAGTTGAGACACCATGCTGAGAGCTCCCCATGGTGTCCATCAGCAATTTTACAACAACTCTTGCACTCACAGAGGCTGACACATCACTGTGTCTATGATGACCACCTGGACTCCGTGACTGACAGATGCATCCATCTTTTCACCATTACTATGCAGAGGCACTAAAGCAGTAACAGCAATGACTGGCCATGGAGAGAACCAACCAGCAGGGGGGATGCCCTCCCTGACCCGAAGCGTCCACGGCCTCCAGCAATGGCTTCTAGTCTTCCCACAGAGAGGCAGTGAGGAGAGACGGATGGGTAAACACAAGGAAGCCCTTTGCCTAAGTCTTCTCTCTCCTTACTGTATACCCAACCACTCCTTCGAAGCAGCTTCTGCCCATGCCTTCCACTCCTCCCCTTCCCACTTAGGGCTCTATCATCTCCCGGGAAAACAGTTCCCAAAGGTTTGGCCAACACCGTCTTGTCAGACCCCATGTCCCACATCTGTCAGATGGTACCACCCCCCAGTATAAAAGGACATGGCAGCACTGCCATTGCCAGCTTCTGCTGATGGCCTCGGCACTGCCTGACAAGATCGGCTTTTCAGCCCTGATTTTCAGGCTTGACTCTCTCTAAGGCACTGCCTTGAGGCCTGTTATGTCTGTCTGCTCTGGTTTCCATGATCATTTTTACACCATTGACGGCTGGATGTGAATGTTCGGTATGACCCCTCCTCTCTTCCATAGGTAGGACTATCTAACTGTCTTCTAGTTTCCTCCACAGGGAAATGCTGCAAGCATAACTCCAAGCAACTTCAGATTCATATCATGCTACATAATCTGCTGATCATTCAGACAAAAAAGCTGGCACTTACCACAGTCACTTTTACACTCAATCTCTTCTGTTGCCTAGCCCCAGAATCTGCCCCTGCCCCTCTCCACATGTCACGCCAGTGGAGAGAAGGATGCCATTTCAACTGTATTGATTTTAGCACTAGAGATTGACACTAGGTTTAACTGCACTGTTGCCCTGCACTGTTAGGTAAGCACGCTGTCACCGGACAATATCTCCAGCCCAAATCCTCTTAAGAGAAAGGTTGGGAGCTGGAGAGATGGCTCAGAGGTTAAGAGCACTGGCTGTTCTTTCAGAGGTCCTGAGTTCAATTCCCAGCAACCACATGGTGGTTCACAACCATCTATAATGAGATCTTGCGCCCTCTTCTGGCCTTCAGGCATACATGCAGGCAGATCACTGTATACATAATAAATAAATAAATCTTTTTAAAAAAGAAAGAAATGTCATACCTCAGGAAGGCCCAGGAATTTATTATTTTTCTACAAAAGAAAGACAAAGAAGCTGCAGGAGGTCCCCAGCGAACATCTACATCAAAAGCATCCTGGGACACAAAATATTTAGTGCTGTCCTATGCAGAGCTATATTTTGCCATCAGTTCCTTCACGGAACCCTTGTGGTTTGGACCACAGGCCGGGAACAAAGGCAAAACTTGTAGGGGTTTCTCATCTACCAACCACACAGGGCCAAAAGGACTACACTTCCAATAAAGGACTATTACAAAGTTAAAAGCCACGCCACAGTCTAGTGCTTTCCTCTCTAAATAAGCAAACATCATGAATTTATTGGAACACTAGCATTTACACAGACATCAAAAAAAGAAACTGAGAATGTTATACTGCCCACATGGGGTGGTCAGCAAGTAACAGCCGAGAAGGAGAGGGGCAATCAAAGTAAGAAATGGTCCTACGAGCCAAATTCAGACGGTGGAGCCAAGTCCATCCTTCATGTGGCAAAGCAGATAAATTGCCACATGAGGGTTTCAGGGCCTTTTAGTTCCCATGCAGACTCCTGGGAAGAATTTCTAATGAGAAGAAAAAAATGGCAAACAGGTATGCCACGAGGAAAGAGAAGGTGCAGATGAGGCCAAACGAGAGCTCGGTCCCCAAGCGACAGATTTTTAGCCACATAACAGTTCTTGCCACTGGAAGGCTCGGGGCAGCACTCTGACACACCCTCCCATGTAGACCGCGGTATCAGGCCAATGGATACGGTAAGCTAAGCACTAGCCTGGGCAGATGTTTTCCTGGTGAACTGTTCTGGGGCTTGAAAGATAATGACTCCTTTCCCTGGGCTCGACTGTTCCCTAAACCTTTTCCATCATTCCATGAAATTCCCCACTGAAGTCCTCTGTCCTAAACTACATTTACTGAGCCACACCTGGACCTTTCTGGCAAACCAAGTTTGAAGTTGAGAAGCCTTGGTAGTGTCAATCAGAGAACTCTCCAGCAGCCACGGCAAATGAGTAGGCAGGCGAACCCTAGCTAACCCACTCTGGTTGTGTTACTGATTCAGATCTTAAAATTCATATCCGAAGCATCGATTTGCTGACCTCCTACTGTGAGTGAGACACTGTTCTCTGACCTGGAGATCCCATGATGAATGAAGGCAGGCTTGTAATTCCCTGAATATATATGAGTTTCGAAAGATTAAATGCTACCTAGGCAAACTAAATCATAAAACTTAGTTCATACACCAGATACTCTCAAATAGCAAATGGCACTGGACCTCATAAAGGAAGTTATTTATTCTGAACCTTCAGAACAGAATCTAGCCAAGAGTTAGGGAGACATAACTCATGGCATCCACATAGTTCACTTGGAAGAAAGCCTAAAGTTCTTAGTGAGGTTCAAGAGAAAGGGAACAGAAAAAAGATAGGGAGCGGTCAGCCATAGCTTCTGTTCAGGTGCACTGGGGTTATCTAACCAGCTTTCTGAGCTCTACCACCATAACTAAGCTGTTTCATCTAATATTTCCTGACCTACCGTCTGTTGGGTAGCCATGCTCTTCATGGACTCATTCTTCTAAGTCTCACAATTTTATATGGGTACAATTATTGTTCCCATTTTACTGATAAGAAAATGGAGGCACAGAGTGATTTAGGAAGTTGTCCAAAGCCTCGTAGTCTCCTAGTCTGCACTGTTTTGGAGCCCCAGGCAGAACTAATCACAAGGAAATTATTTAATTTTTCACTGGCCATCTGGGCATCTATCTTCCTCACAGCTCTTCTCAGGGGGGATTACAGGCTGGCCTTCTAAGATATCACAGATATGAGCCAGCCCAGAGATAACCATT